GGGTGGGTGAGTGGGTGGGTGGGTGGGTGGGTGGGTGGGTGGGTGGGTGCGTGGGTGGGTGGGTGGGTGGGTGCGTGGGTGGGTGGGTGGGTGGGTGGGTGGGTGCGTGGGTGGGTGGGTGAGTGGGTGGGTGAGTGGGTGGGTGAGTGGGTGGGTGAGTGGGTGGGTGAGTGGGTGAGTGGGTGGGTGAGTGGGTGGGTGAGTGGGTGGGTGAGTCTCTGAGTTGGTGGGTGAGTGGCTGAGTGGGTGGGTGAGTGGGTGGGTGAGTGGGTGGGTGGGTGCGTGGGTGGGTGGGTGCGTGGGTGGGTGGGTGAGTGGGTGGGTGAGTGGGTGGGTGGGTGGGTGAGTGGGTGGGTGAGTGGGTGGGTGAGTGGGTGAGTGGGTGGGTGAGTGGCTGAATGGGTGGGTAAGTGGGTGGGTGAGTGGGTGGGTGAGTGGGTGGGTGAGTGGGTGGGTGGGTGGGTGAGTGGGTGGGTGGGTGAGTGGGTGAGTGGGTGAGTGAGTGAGTGAGTGGGTGCGTGGGTGGGTGCGTGGGTGGGTGCGTGGGTGCGTGGGTGCGTGAGTGGGTGGGTGCGTGGGTGAGTGGCTGGGTGCGTGGGTGGGTGGATGGGCAGGCCAGCACCACACCTGGCCGCCTTTTGTCATTCAGCAGCGTGCGAGGCACCTGGACACGAATTCACTTCCCACTTAATTGAGTTGTCATCGTCGCGAAAGGGTGGGAGGGAGGAGGAGGGGGGGTTACGGCCCAATTAATTAACTCACAGCGCACAGAACCTTGACCAATATTAACACGCAGTCCACACGCATTAGGAGCTCGCTGTGACGAGAGCCGAACTGCTGCTGCTGGCTAATGCCACGGTGATGATGGTGATGATGGTGGTGGTGTGGGGAGCGGTGGTGTCGCGGTTAGCGCTACGCTGCGCTACGAACCTGGCGACCCGGGTTCGATTCCCGCTCACGGCCAACACCAGTGACGATTATCTGAACCGGTCCTGGACCCTCCCCCTAGGTCGACTCGGCCTCAAATGAGTACCTGGTGCGATGTGTAGTAAACATCGCTACTGGGGAGACAAAGGCGGCCGGGCGTGGTGCTGGTCACCCACCCCCTCGTGTGCCGTGCCGGCCTTCATAGGTGCTGCTCGCTAGCAGCACTTGCCCCTACAGTCTGTTACAGGCTGGTGGTGATTAAGTTGAAGTTTATGATTAAATAAAAAAAACACTTTGATGATGTTGATGGTGGTAAAGCAATTGGTGATGATGTTAAAGTTGATAATGACATTGATTGATTATGAAATTGATTAAATTGTTGATTACAATGATGGCGATAGCGATAATGAAAGTGGTGATGGTGGTGCTGGTGGTGCTAGTGATGGTGGTGCTAGTGATGGTGGTGCTAGTGATGGTGGTGCTAGTGATGGTGCTGGTGATGATCGTGATGATCGTGATGATCGTGATGGTGGTGCTGGTGGTGCTGGTGATGGTGGTGCTGGTGATGGTGGTGATGGTGATGATGGTGCTGGTGATGATGGTGATGATGGTGATGGTGCTGATGGTGATGATGGTGCTGGTGCTGATGGTGATGATGATGGTGCTGATGGTGATGGTGATGATGATGGTGATGATGGTGCTGGTGCTGATGGTGATGATGATGGTGATGATGGTGATGATGATGGTGATGATGGTGCTGGTGATGATGGTGCTGGTGATGATGGTGCTGGTGATGATGGTGGTGATGGTGGTGATGATGATGCTGGTGATGATGGTGGTGGTGATGGTGGTGATGATGGTGCTGGTGATGGTGGTGATGGTGATGATGGTGCTAGTGATGGTGCTGGTGATGATGGTGATGATGGTGCTGGTGATGATGGTGCTGGTGATGATGGTGCTGGTGATGCTGGTGATGGTGGTGCTGGTGATGATGGTGCTGGTGATGGTGGTGATGGTGATGATGGTGCTGGTGATGGTGGTGATGATGGTGATGATGGTGCTGGTGATGATGGTGCTGGTGATGATGGTGGTGATGGTGATGATGGTGGTGATGATGGTGCTGGTGATGATGGTGCTGGTGATGGTGGTGCTGATGGTGATGATGATGGTGCTGGTGATGATGGTGCTGGTGATGATGGTGGTGATGGTGGTGATGATGGTGCTGGTGATGATGGTGCTGGTGATGGTGGTGCTGATGGTGATGATGATGGTGCTGGTGATGATGGTGCTGGTGATGATGGTGCTGGTGATGATGGTGCTGGTGATGGTGGTGATGATGGTGCTGGTGATGGTGGTGAAGGTGATGATGGTGGTGGTGATGGTGGTGATGATGGTGATGATGGTGCTGGTGATGATGATGATGGTGATGATGGTGATGATGGTGATGGTGGTACTAGTGATGATGGTGATGATGGTGCTGATGATGGTGATGATGGTGATGATGGTGCTGATGATGGTGATGATGGTAATAGTGATGATGATGCTAGTCATGATGATGCTGGTGATGATTGATGTTCAAAATGAATCTGATGTTGCTGCTGATGATGACCAGAGATATTGAATTGTCGATGATGATGATGATCACGGCTAAGTTGCATATCGCCACGGTGATCGCAGTGACGGCGATCAGTTGATGACTGCTGACGATTCCCAATGACGGCGAAGCTTCCCACTCATCAGCGAGCCCTGCTGCTCAAATCACTTTTGGGTGTTCGTGTACAACTCTGCAGGGATAGTGGTGGAAATTCCACATTCCTATGGCGCCAGGAAGAAGTTCGTGAAAGCTCAAACCACCGTTGACTTCCCTTCCAAAGTGGTTCTCGTTTTATCGACCACGCCGAGAGATGATGATGATGACGACGACGTTGATGATGATGTTTCTAATGATCACCTAACCACCACAACCACCACCACCATCATCATCATCGGAAGCAGCGAATTGACAAAGGCTCCCCCCCGCTCTCCGAGTTGATGGCCAGGCAATGCATCACTACGATTGTCGTCAAAAACACCACCACCACCACCACCACGCGCCCGACCGTCTTTGTCTTCCCCGGTGACGATGTTCTACACATTTCGTAGCAGGCACTCATTCGAGGCACAGTCCACCTCGGGGCGGGAGGCCCAGTTTTGAGATAATCGCCACTGATGTTAGCCGTGAGTGGAAATCGAATGCCCCGGGTGTTTGTCGCTAACCGCTGCGCCACCGCTCCCCATGCAAATGCACAACCACAGCCACAACATCACACGCCGCTGCTAATTAACCAATTACCGCTCTCTCTCTCTCTCTACAATGTGCAGGTGTGTACCCGCGTGTGTGTGTGTGTACGTGTGTGTACCTGTGTGTGTGTGTACCTGTGTGTGTGTGTACGTGTGTGTGCGTGTGTGTGCGTGTGTGTGCGTGTGTGTACCCGCGTGTGTGTGCGCACGTGTGTGTGTACCTGTGTGCGCGTACATGTGTGTGTGTGTGTACCCGGGTGTGTACCCGTGTGTGCGTGCGTGTGTGTGTACGTGTGTGTACCTGTATGTGTGTACGTGTGTGCGTGTGTACGTGTGCGTGCGTGTGTGTGTGCGTACCTGTGTGTGTGTACGTGTGTGCGTGTGTGCGTGTGTACGTGTGTGTACCTGTGTGTGTGGGGAGTGGTAGTGTAGCGGCTAGCTCGCTGCGCTATGAACCCGGCGACCCGGTTCAATTCCCGCTCATGGCCAACACCAGTGACGATTATCTGAACCGGTCCAGGGCCTCCCCTAGGTCAACTCAGCCTCAAATGAGTACCTGGTGCGGTGTGTAAACATTGTCACTAGGGAGACAAAGGCGGTCGGGCGTGGTGCTGGCCACCCACCCCCTCGTGTGCCGTTCCGGCCTTCATAGGTGCTCGCTCACAGCACTTGCCCCTACAGTCTGTTGAGGCTACACGGTGAGGACCTTTGTCTTTGGTACGGAGAGCGGTGGCGCAGTGGTTAGCGCGCCTTGCCGGAGTTCCGATTCCCGCTGCGCTCACGGCGAACATCGAGCAACCCGTGACGTGCCCTCCCCTAGGTCGACTCAGCCTCCACACGGGCACCCTTGGGTGTTAGTAAGCATCGGCACTGGGGGAGACAAAGGCGGCCGGGCGAGGTTTGCTACCGACCACAGCACCACCCCCAGTGATGTGATAGGTGCAGCACTTGCCCTCCGCTGCAGATTACACGGGGGATCTTTGTCTTTGTGTGGCTGTGTGTGTATCTGTGTGTGTGTCTGTGTGTGTGTCTGTGTGTGTGTCTGTGGCTGTTTCTCTGTGTGTGTGGCTGTGTATGGCTGTGTTAGTGTGTCTGTGTGTGTATCTGTGTTTGTGTGTGTCTGTGTGTGTGGGGAGCGGTGGTGCAGTGGTTAGCGCTACGCTGCGCTATGAACCTGGCGATCCGGGTTCTATTCCCGCTCACGGCCAACGACGATTATCTGAACCGGTCCTGTGCCTCCCCTAGGTCGGCTCGACCTCAAATGAGTACCCGTAGCGGTGTGCATTAAACGTCGCCACTGGGGGAGAGACAAAGGCGGTCGGGCGTGGTGCTGGCCACCCACCCCCTCGTGTGCCGTGCCGGCCTTCATAGGTGCTCGCTAACAGCACTTGCCCCTACAGTCTGTTAAGGCTATACGGGGGATCTTTGTCTGCGTGTGTGTGTGTGGCGTGTGTGTGGTGTGTGTGTGGTGTGTGTGTGGTGTGTGTGTGTGTGGTGTGTGTGTGGGTTTGTGTGTGGTGTGTGTGTGGGTGTGTGAGTGTATGTGCGTGTGTGGTGTGTGAGTGTGTGTGTATGTGGTATGTGGTGTGTGTGTGGTGTGTGTATGTGGTGTGTCAGTGTGTATGTGGTGTGTGTGAGTCTATGTGTGTGTGGTGTGTGTGTGTGGTGTGTGTGTGTGGTGTGTGTATGTGGGGTGTGTGTATGTGGTGTGTGTATGTGGTGTGAGTGTATGTGGTGTGTGAGTCTATGTGTGTGGTGTTTGTGTGCGCGCCGCAGTGTACACTGTGTCTCACCGTCCAGCGCCGAGACGCTTGGGGAAGACAAAGACGGACGGCGCGGCGACTCACTGCCACAGCAGGAAAAGGATGAAGATGATGATGGTGATGATGGTGGTGGTAATAATGTTGCAGGAGACGTCTTTCTGCTGTAATCCATTCAGTGTGTGGCGGTGGTGGTGGTGATGGTGGTGGTGATGGGTGAGCAGAGGAGGGAGGATGCGAGTGGGTGGGTGGTGGTGGGGGGTGGAGATGGTGAAGCTGAGAGATAAAGCAAGGAGGATGGAGGGAGGGGGGGAGGTGATGCCGGGGGTATGGGTGGGAGGGAGGGGGGATAAGAGAGTGGAGAAGCGTTGGGGGTTGTGTGTTTGTGGTGTGTTTGTGTGTATCTGTGTGTGTGTGTCTGTTCGTGTGTGTACGTGTGTGTGTATCTCTTTGTGTGTATCAGTGTGTATGTATCTGTGTATCTGTGTGTGTGTCTGTGTATCTGTGTGTGTGTATCTGTGTGTGTGTATCGCTGTGTATCTGTGTGTGTGTATCTGTGTGTGTCTATGTGTATATGTGTGTGCGTGTCTGTGTGTGTGTGTATCTGTGTGTGTATCTCTGTGTACTGTATCCGTGTGTGTGTGTTTGGGGAGCGGTGGTGTCGTGGTTAGCGCTACGCTGAAAATCCAGCTACGACCCGGCTTCGATTCCCGCTCACGGCCAACACCGGTGACGATTATCTGAACCGATCCTGGGCCTCCCCTAGGTCGACTCAGTCTCAAATGAAGTGTCTAGTAAACATCGCCACGAGAGAGACAAAGGCGGCCGGGCGTGTTGCTGACCACCCACCCCCTCGTGTGCCGTGCCGGCCTTCATAGGTGCTGCTCGCTAACAGCACTTGCCCCGACAGTCTGGTCAAGGCTACACGGAGGATCTTTGTCTTTGTTTCAACGCGTTACGAACGCAGCAGGTCTCACACGGCCACCACCAAAACACCAGCGTCGGTTCAAGCGAGCCTGACAGCTGATGAGAAACTCAATGTCGAAGCCGATCTTCGCCTGTGGACATCCGGGCAGTTCAGCAGCGTCGGTTCAAGCGAGCCTGACACTGCTGATGAGAAACTCAATGTCGAAGCCGATCTTCCCCTGTGGACATCCGGGCAGTTCACTAGAGTCGGTCCAAGCGATCCTGACTGCTGATGAGAAACTCAATGTCGAAGCCGATCTTCCCCTGTGGACATCCGGGCAGTTCATCAGCGTCGGTCCAAGCGAGCCTGCCTGCTGATGAGAAACTCAATGTCGAAGCCGATCTTCCCCTGTGGACATCCGGGCAGTTCATCAGCGTCGGTCCAAGCGAGCCTGCCTGCTGATGAGAAACTCAATGTCGAAGCCGATCTTCGCCTGTGGACATCCGGGCAGTTCAGCAGCGTCGGTTCAAGCGAGCCTGACACTGCTGATGAGAAACTCAATGTCGAAGCCGATCTTCCCCTGTGGACATCCGGGTAGTTAACGAGAGTCGGTCCAAGCGAGCCTGCCTGCTGATGAGAAACTCAATGTCGAAGCCGATCTTCCCCTGTGGACATCCGGGCAGTTAACTAGAGTCGGTTCAAGCGATCCTGACACTGCTGATGAGAAACTCAATGTCGAAGCCGATCTTCGCCTGTGGACATCCGGGCAGTTCACTAGAGTCGGTTCAAGAGAGCCTGACACTGCTGATGAGAAACTCAATGTCGAAGCCGATCTTCCCCTGTGGACATCCGGGCAGTTCACTAGAGTCGGTCCAAGCGATCCTGACTGCTGATGAGAAACTCAATGTCGAAGCCGATCTTCGCCTGTGGACATCCGGGCAGTTCACTAGAGTCGGTTCAAGAGAGCCTGACACTGCTGATGAGAAACTCAATGTCGAAGCCGATCTTCCCCTGTGGACATCCGGGTAGTTAACGAGAGTCGGTCCAAGCGAGCCTGACTCTCCTGATGAGAAACTCAATGTCGAAGCCGATCTTCCCCTGTGGACATCAGGTCAGTTCATCAGCGTCGGTCCAAGCGAGCCTGCCTGCTGATGAGAAACTCAATGTCGAAGCCGATCTTCGCCTATGGACATCCGGGCAGTTCACCAGCGTCGGTCCAAGCGAGCCTGCCTGCTGATGAGAAACTCAATGTCGAAGCCGATCTTCGCCTGTGGACATCCGGGCAGTTCAGCAGCGTCGGTTCAAGCGAGCCTGACACTGCTGATGAGAAACTCAATGTCGAAGCCGATCTTCCCCTGTGGACATCCGGGCAGTTAACTAGAGTCGGTTCAAGCGATCCTGACACTGCTGATGAGAAACTCAATGTCGAAGCCGATCTTCGCCTGTGGACATCCGGGCAGTTCACTAGAGTCGGTTCAAGAGAGCCTGACACTGCTGATGAGAAACTCAATGTCGAAGCCGATCTTCGCCTGTGGACATCCGGGCAGTTCACTAGAGTCGGTTCAAGAGAGCCTGACACTGCTGATGAGAAACTCAATGTCGAAGCCGATCTTCGCCTGTGGACATCAGCGCAGTTCAGCAGCGTCGGTCCAAGCGAGCCTTGACTGCTGATGAGAAACTCAATGACGAAGCCGGTCTTCGCCTGTGGACATCCGGGCAGTTCACTAGAGTCGGTCCAAGCGAGCCTGACTCTGCTGATGAAACACTCAATGACGAAGCTGGTTCAGAGATGAGCTCGTGTCGAACTGACGCTGCTGATGGGCCGTGGGGCCTGGTGCTGGTTGTGTAAAATGAAAATCAAAAGCAACTTTTACTTTTCACGGACGCGTCAAGATGAAGCGTCGTCTTGCCGAGTTGAGTGCGACGCACGCGGCCATCAACGGAGCGTGCTGTCGACGGGCTCGTGACGTCACTGTGACGTGGTTGCCCACAATGCAGTGCACCAACACAAAGATGGCTGTCGCCTGATGAAGCTGGTTGTGATTGCTGGCGAAACGTCGCGGCACTCGGATTGTAAATGTTGTGGCTTTGCTCTCTTAGAGTGACTATGTGACTGAGTGCCAACAGAATATGCAGGAAAAGGCGGCAAAATATTGCAGATAAAACACCGTACACCAACACTGAGTGCAAAAATCCCAGTGGGATGCAAGTCAAACAACAACAACCACAAGACAACTTAGATTAAGGCCATCAGTCTAACTCTGTACTACAACAAACAAACATGGCCAAACCAAAAAACTTTTCGAAAATCACCAAAATAAAGCCATAAAAATTAACCCGTAAAAACAAAGTTTTTCACTATAAATCCTTTATATGCGTGTTCAATGGGCCACAACCCAGCGCACATTGGTCTTTAAAACGGGCGGCTAGAGTCCTCTCATCCCTGGCTTGAGATGGCTGCCACCTATGGGTCAGATGATTGTCTGCCACCATTAAGCAATTGGTAATAAAATATAATTTTAGTTTTTCCTAAGAGGTGTAACATTTTGAAAAAAAAATTAACGAAAATACATTGTCACGCACAACGAGTCTGTGTGCAAAATGTCAGCTCGATTGGATCACGGGAAGTGGGTTAAAAAACGACCGAAAGATTTGCACGGTCGTAAGCAAGCAAGCAAGCAAACTTAATATAAAGGATTTAAAAAGCAATGAAACAGTGCAGGTCATAGGAACTGTGACCGAACTTTCACCATAAACGACGTCAACAACATGTACCACCAAACTCTGCAGCCATAGCTGGCTGCATGAGTCACTCCACAACATCAACGACTGTTGATGGTCTACGACGTGGCAATCGACTCATCTCGACACGAGCTGTACTCACGATGCACCACCGCTACGGTGCGTACCGCGAGCGTTCACGGTTTCGGCGCAATCGTCGTCCTCGCTACGTTTCGACTTCGCGGAGTGTGGCACCGATTTCGGATTGATTGGCTACCCCAGTTTGCGGAGTTTAAGAACACCCCTGGAGAAAAAAAGTTTCCCAGAAATAAGATATTTAATTGCCTGGACCATCCTGTAACATTTGGTAGACCGGGGCACTGCCAAAAGGATCATTTGCATCACCCCGTGTGATTCATCTTCTTGGTTCTTTCGGTAAAGTCATCACGTAGAAGGGAAATAATAAAATAATAATAATAGAACATAATAAAATAATTCTGATGACGTTTCGGCCACAACGCAAGCAGCCGTCCTCAGGTGAAGAATGAAACACAACCAAGCTTGGAGCGTATATTTAAGCTGCTGGGTTGGAGGGGGAAGAAGAGCGCCTTGACAAAAGAATTTGCATATCAAGAGGAATTTAGCATATTTATGGGAAATGCAGATATGGGATTAGTACTACTTGTGAAATGCGTAGGAGGTGGGCGGGGGGTTTCAAAGTCATATTATGCCCGTGCATTATGCAGGATTAGCAGCATCAAAGGGAGGGGATAGGAGTAGCATTAACAAAGGGAAGGAATGTTAATAGTATGTAGCTGCAGTTACTAAACCACCACTCAGCCTCAAATGAGTACCGGTGTGATTTGTTTACGAAAAAAAACTAAAGATGACCCCACGTGGATTCCTGACTTTTGGGCCACCATGGCATTTGGCGAATGGGTTAAGAATGTGTCCTCTTGGTTATTTCGGTAAAGTCACGTAGGTAAAAACAAATAAACAATAATAAAAGATTAAAATAAATCACGAAGTTTCGATTGCAACACAAGCAATCATCATCAGGTGGGAAAACCACAGCAAGAAATGTTATACTAACGTGGGAGAGATGTCAGAACCTTGTTATCTTTCTATTTTTATCTTTTAATTTTTATTTTTAAATTGTATTTATTATTTTCTAAATAAATTGAAATCACTGATTTCATTTATTAGAATTTTTATTTATGTAATTTTTCATTTCTTAATTTCTAAAAGAAAATGAAATCACTGATTTAAATGTATTTATTTTTATCTTTTATTATTTTATTTTTATTACTTATTTTCTAAATAAAATGAAATCACTGATTTAAATTTATTTATTTGTATCTTTTTTTGGTATTTTCTTTTTATTTATTATTTCTAAATAAAATGAAATCACTGATTAAATTTTATTTATTTCTATCTTTAAATTTTTTAATTTTTTAATTTCCTTTACCTACGTGACTTTACCGAAAGAACCAAGAGTATGGTTCCTTGCAGTCACGAAAACTTCAAATCGAGGGGTTAAGAATGCCCAGGTGACCCGGGCACAAAGACCACGCCTCCGTTTGTGAAGGAATTGACCAATGGGCTTCGAGCTCGAGGCCCGGATTGTACCATTGAGCACTGGAA